CCAGTCGTTCTCTAAGAAAGTTCCACTTCTCCCTCACACAAAGAGGAAAAAGTAACTTTTCACTTTATTTTAACTAAAATTCACATGTACTTTACAACTTATACAACATTGCTTGTATGAGTTTGTCCTCAAGATGGTTGTTGGCAAAGGTCAAAAACAATCAAACGCTAGCAATTTCCTATGGCTCAGTGTGGTGTATTTCATTGGGTCCTTACAACTACTGTGTGAAGAAGATATTATCAGTCCTGTGTGACTAATTAAGCTGAGGTTCAGAAAAGTTAAGAAACTGGCACAAAACACTCAGCAAATACATGTCCAATACTCACGGGCCCAAATCGTCTGATTCCAAATTATTTCTCCCCCATTAAAATGTGTTAAATGCAATACATAGCTCAGGGCCTTTAAGGTATCTTGTGCAGAATGTCCAGGTTCTAAACAATCTCTTTTCCCTTCACCCCCTGAGGAGAAGATTCAAGCTCAAGAGCCCCTAAGATTCCCTTTATTTACATTTTGGGAAGCAATTACAAGCACCAAGGAAAGACAAGCAGAAGGAATATAAAGGTTCCTATTGTGCTCTTGATTGGTTGGGGCTATCAATCCCGTCTTCACGGGTAGAATCAATACATGAAACTCCATGCTTTCCCTGACCATCTGCTTTCCCTCCAAAGTGTTTCCCTTTTCAAAAAATGGAGGATTTTCTAACTGATATAAAAAGAGGATGAATTCTTCAAAGAAAAAAAACCCCGCATCGTCTAATTCATAGCCTGGATCAAGCCACTGTGGGTTTCACACAAAAGAAATTCTCACTGCTCTTGATCCACTCTTGCCACTGGTCCCAGAAGCACACCAGTAGCTTCCGAGCCAGCGTTTGTGGGCGGCCTCCCAAGAATTAAGACTCACAGGGAGCAACAAGCACATAAAACCTGAGCATTCAGGAATTAGAAAAAAAGTAGATTTGTGGGGCGCCTGGGTGGCGCAGTCGGTTAAGCGTCCGGCTTCAGCCAGGTCACGATCTCGCGGTCGGTGAGTTCGAGCCCCGCGTCGGGCTCTGGGCTGATGGCTCGGAGCCTGGAGCCTGTTTCCGATTCTGTGTCTCCCTCTCTCTCTGCCCCTCCCCCATTCATGCTCTGTCTCTCTCTGTCCCAAAAATAAATAAACGTTGAAAAAAAAAAATTAAAAAAAAAAAAAAAAGTAGATTTGAATCAATCTGACAGCCTCCTCAAACCACCTCCAAATTCTCAGCCTCTTTTCTATCATCTCTGCCGCCCAGACTGGAAATCACCAGAGAAAGGAAAAGCTCAGATACATCTTGTTTATCCTAACAAAGGCATCCTTTACCAACCTGGCATTGCATGCATAACAATGTACTCCATTAAGAGATCCCTGTTCTGAAGAAATTTACAAAGTAACTTAACCTTTCACATCTGGAGCGCACATCTTGCAAATGCAATGTGAGAAAATGTTCCCCAGGAGATGGAAACATATTTATGATCCCCCACGTTATAGGTGAATAAAGCACAACAGGGAAGACCTAAATCTCTTTGTAAACTAAATTGGTAAAATATGTTCTATGGGGGGAGGGGGGAGGGGGTTGGAGAATAGTAGATACACATGTACTCGCAAAACCTTGAACTTTCCAGGGTTGTTAAAATGATAGACTCAAGATACAGAGAGAGCTGATGGGTCTGAAGAGGAACAGTGTGAGCACAATGAGTTTTATTTCCAATTTTCATTTTTAAAGGCATGCTTGGGTTGATTTTTTTCAGACCTGTTTAAACTTCTCTTTGCGCCTGGAGCCTGAGGGTGAGTACCAAAGGTTCATGGTTGGCTAACGTGACTCTCTCCGTGGAGGACATTGTCCTGTTTCTTATTTAAGGCCCTAGTAATTAATCTGAACTGTCTTCTTTCAGACATAGAAGAACCGGATTCTAAAATTCTCCCCTTTCCTTCCTGTCCCCTCCCCACCCCTTCAGGAGAAATGGGAAACATTTTTCCTGTCATCATAACCTTTTAGATTTTTGCATTGTATTTTCTGATGAATCTGTTGTTAAGTTTCAGGCATTTTGAGCTCTGAAGTATCTGAATGGCAGGAAGTGATTTACTAAGATTCATCCCCAGAGAACAAAGATTGGAACACAATAGTGATTTTGTTCATAATATGAAAAGAGATTTTCTACATATAAATCACATCAGCATATGTTTCTAGGTTCAATGTCCATAAGGTTCCAATTTAGACTAAAAAGAAAAAAAAATCACACTCAACAATCTCATATTGTAGCTTTGTTATGAACTAGTGAATTTTGGTCAACAAAACCATTCACCTCTAAGGAAAAAACCCAGGGCATTAAGTGGACTAAACCCAAACTATTCTCGGGGCAAATTGTTAAAATATTTTCGAAGGAAACTCTTGAAAAAAATAACATAAGAATTCTCCCATAAAATACCAATCTTAGATTCGTGCTAATTTGTAGTGAGTCTGACATTTAATAGTACATTTCTAGTTAGTTGCTTTCCTGAAATCTCCCTCAGGCCAGACATCCACAGATAATGCATTCCTTGCTTTTCAGTCAACGAAGGGAGAAAAAAAAAAGAAAAAAAAAAACCCATCGAGCATCTAGACTTCTTCAAATAATCTCTGAAAAAAAAATTTAAGCCACTCTGAAGTTCAGAGATCTCAACACACGTCAGGAGCCTAGTAAGTGTCAGCGACCAATAAGGTCCTATCTGCCCTTAAGGAATCCATAGCCTAAGGGGAGAAGTGGAATACGACCAGTGCTTAGCTCCGGGACCAAACACTCCACCAACAACTCCATTCATACTGTTCTCACTTTCAGAACATATGGATATGTTCATATCTCATACACGGAAGGAGAACTCCTAATAGCTGCTGTGTCCCCAGAAAGCATAGGAAGCTATCATAAGCACTTCGTGAGCATTATGTTAAGCCTAGCCTCAACGATTCAAATGGATATTCTTCGTTCTATTTCACAGATAAGAAATCCTCAGTTTCACCTTATACGCTGTTGGTAGGAATGCAAACTGCCGCAACGGCTAGAGAGAAGAGTATGGAGTTTCCTCCAAACGTGAAAAATTGAACCACCATAGGATCCGGAAATCCCACTTCTGGGGGTTCATCCCAAAGACATGAAATCACTAGCTTGAAACAAGATCTGCACCCCATGTTCATTGCAGTATTATACGTGCTAGCCGAGACTTGGAGACAACCTGTGACCATCCACGGATGAGTGGATAAAAAAGAAAGACGTGGCATATCCCACATGGAACCTTATTCAGTCATTAAAAGGAAGGAAATCCTGCCTTTTGCCACAACACGGATGGGCCTTGAGGGCATTGTGCTAAGCGGAATAAGTCAGAGAAAGACAAATACCGTTAGATCCTAATTCTATGTGGAATCTAAACCAGTCAAACTCACAGAAGCAGAGAGTAGAATGAGGGTTGCCAGGGGCTTGGAGGTGAGGGAAATGTTAAAAGCTATAGGGTGAATAAGTTGCAGGGATCTAATGTGCAGCCCAGTGGCTACAGTTAACAATACTGTATAATATACTTGAAAATTCCTAAGAAAGTAGGTTCTCCTCATTGAAAAATGATAATTGTGTGAGGTGATAGAGATAGACAGATAACTAACCTTATTGTGGCAGTGATTTTTGCAATATATATATATATATATGTGTGTGTGTGTGTATCAAATCATCACGTTGTACACCTAAACTTGTTATATGTCCATTAGATCTCACGAAAGCTGGGAGAAAAGTCTGTGTTGCAATACAAAAGCAGCCATAGATAATACGTGAATTAATGGGTGTTGCTGTGTTCCAATAAAACTTTATGGATACTGAAAAAAGAACTGGGCTTTAGACTGTGTAGATCTTTGCTGTCCAATGGGTATAAAGCTTCAGTTGCAAGATGAATAAGGTCTGCTGTATGACATTGTTCCTATAATTAACAATACTGGATTGTGCACTTTAAAATTTTTTAAGAAGATACCTATAATGTTTAGTATTTTTGCCACAATAAAAAATTTTTTAAGAAAAAAGAGAGATCAGCAGTACCATGGGGGAAAAAAGTGATGGACATGGAACGCAGCATCCCAGTCTTAATGATGGTGGATGGAGAGAACAAAAAGCAAACGACAACATCAATATACGAACGTCAATGGATTTCCTCTATGCCAGCCACGAGCAACCAGAATTGAAATTTTTTAAAATACCACTTACAATAGCACCCAAAATTGGAACATTTAGTTATAAATCCAGCAAAGTACGTACAAATCTATGTCCAGAAAACTATGACACAGTGTAGAAAGAAAGCAAATGAAATATAAATAAATGGAGAGGAGGGTATTCTTTTCAAAAAAGTGGGGAAGGCATTTTAAATAAGCTGTCTAAAATCACACAGCCATTAGGCAGGAAAGCCAATACCTGAGGCTCCTCTGTCTCCATGTTCCTGCTGACCTAAGTTTTGTGCTAATGTCTCATTGTAGATTAAACCAAACTTTACCAGTCTTCTCGTTATACTTCTGCAAATTAATATTGTTGCAGCAAGGGAACCCCTTACTGCATCCTCACGACGGTTTGCTTTTGGAACATCATAATTCTAATTCAACCGTAGCACGAGTTATAATACATTGTACAGCTTCAAGACTCAAGACTCCATTTTCATGTGAGCACTAGATGTAGAGAACTTCTATACACTTTCAAGTGCCTTGTTACCTCCTTCTAGAGCACCTCCTTCATGAATCCCAAGAGAGCTGAAACCTCATAAAGCCATCTGTGCTCGCATAAAACTACCCCTGCAGAGAACCATTGGCGTCGGCAGCAAAAGTTTAGACGCAGTCTGGTTACATGTCCAATGAGTTGAATTCAGCGTTCAGTTAGTTAAACTATTAATTCACAGGTTGTGTTCCCTCAGTGGAGGAAATGCTCAGTTCCACCCAAAGCCAAATGTTCAGACAAGATGATGCGCATCATGTCAACCTTTACCTCCAGTCACGGATAATGTGGGATTCCGTGATTAGGAGGCCTCGTCTGCACTGCCAGGACCCCAGGTACTCATGATGTCTTAGAGACTTCCCTCCAACCAATCTCGACAGCTGCCAGCACGTAGATTCACCTCCTATCTTGACTGGTTTCTTCAGGAGCATTCACAGATGGGTCATCCGTTGCTTTTAAACGTTCTGAGTTTAAATGCAGAGAATAGCATGCTTTTTAAAAAATTACACATGCTGATTTTTTTTTTTTTTACCTTGCCCTAAAGGAGATAACATACATACCTGCAGCAGATTGCCCAAATATGTGCTCCCCACCTGCGCTTATTTTTAGGACAATATGTTCCTTTTTCATGTCTTGAATACGGCCACGTTATTTTGACTACTGGAAATATTAGTAAATGACAGGAAAAGAATTTTGATGGGTTTCATCCCATAAAAGTTGCAAGTGAAACCTTTTCCTCCTATTAGGACAAAGAGTATTAATTCAACGTTTCAATTATTAGATATTGTTTTCCAGTATATTTTTTCTAAAGAAAAATATAGGTCTCCTAACCCACACTCTCCTGTCCCTTTCTGCTAGTATTAGAACTGTCAAAGGTTTTGTGTTTAATTTTATAATTGAGGTTTTGGTTGTGTGGGGGTGGGAGGATATAAATTGAGTCTAGCTTAGAAGCTGGTTGGTCCATTGATGGAAACAGGGATTACAGGAGGAGATTCTGTGGAAAAGGAGAATCAGAAGCACGGGAGAAAGATCTAGACTGGAGTCATAGATTTGGGAGTTAATGTACAAAAGAGGTACGGAAGTGGGCTCTGGAATTTTTACCCCCTACACACACACACACACACACACACACACCCCAAAGATCTATCCTTGCCTACATAGATGAAGCAAAGACCACATTCTGATCACTTGGCGTGAGCTTTGCCAAGCCTCACCCCGTCAGCAGGCAACCTGATTGACAGTGATGTCTTGACAGGTGAGGACGACATCAAGACCCCAGAGCCTCAATACAGGGTCTGGGGCACCTGGGTGACTCAGACGATTAAACACCCAACTTGGGCTCAGGCCATGATCTTGCAGTTTGTGAGTTCAAGCCCAGCATCAGGCTCTCTGCTGTCAATGCAGGGCCAGCTTTGGATCTTCTGTCCCTCCCCGCCTCTGCCCTTCTCCCACTTGTGTACTCACTCTCTCATGCGCACTGGCTCTCTCTCTCTCTCTCCCTCTCTCTCTCAAAAAGAAATAAACATTAAAAAAAAAATACCAGGTATCAGGGTCATCAGAGAAAACAAACAATATGGTGGCCCTATGTGGACCAAACCTGGAAAAGCAGGAAACGGTGCCACATCGGGCCCGAGAAGCATGTGGAGTGTCTCCATATGGACCCCAGCACCACGTAGGAAGAATTTGAGAATCTGGAGTTTCCAGAGTTTGTAGAGGCAGAGCCTCTATTGTGACTTATTTTCACCTTAATTTTCCCCCTAGTCCAGTATGACCTCAGAAGTACAAGCTATACTGAAAAACAGGGTTACACAAAGAAAGAAGGAAAAGATAAACACATTTTAGAACTCCCACCATCTCCCCATGGATGAACAAGTGTCTCTACTCAATCACCCCTCATAATGCAGAAGTTTCTGATTTTTTTCCCCCTGGGAAAATATAAAAAGTTACATCATGGCTGCCTTTCCGTCCCCTGGCACTGTTCTTCTCGTAACATCTCTGTCCTCACGTGGGCCTCTTGTGAAACGAGAAGAAGCTGCTTGGACCGTGCTGTTATTCACACTGAGGAGAGAAGCAAATTTTCCTGGAATTTTCCAAGACACAATAGAAGGCACTGTTCTTTCAGCTAATTGGGGGAACCTGGATGGTGCCCAGGTTTGAATCACACAGACGTTAAGTATTCCTTTCCCTTCGCAGATAACTTTAGAAAAGCATTCCCTTACATTCGGGAACTTTTCCCTCTGCAGCATGAGAAATGCAGGAATGCCGCCCAGCCTGCCTTGCCTGGAGAGATCTGTTCTCCAAAATTGTTGAGTGCATTTATTTAAGCCCCTTTCAAAAAAAAAAAAAAACAAGTCGAAAGTTTAGCTCAAGGTTGGCTTTCGGGGAATGCAGGGATGGGATTTTATCAGATTGCTGGGAAAGTCATGTGAATGTCTGCCAGAGAATCATACTGCTCTCTTTTTCTTTTGACAACAACAACAACAAAAAAAGAGCTTAAACTCATGCTGATTTGGCAGCAGGAGGCCTGCCCGTGTGACAAATTAGTCAAGATGAAATGCAGCGGTTTGGCATTCCTGGAAATTTAATTCTCAGGTTTTGAAAAATGTGGGGAAAACAAGAAATCTTATTGTTAAAAGAGAGTCAGCACGGTGGCACTAACCCGCTTGTAAGAAAAGCTCGTTTGCAAACAGGAAGGAACGTTTTGAATGGAATGGAATGGAAAGGTTGCATATAAAACAGCTATTGAAAATAGCTATGTAGAGATCATGTAAAAAACACTGAGAGAAAGAAACACAGAGGTAAAGGCCTAACAGGCAAGAAAGTGGAATCTATGTCCAAGGAGCTGAAAGTCCTATATGGTTTTTAGCCTTTGCTTCGTTTTACCCAAATGTCAGGAGGAGGGGCCCCAGGTGCCTCTGGCTGAGATTTCAAACAGAATCCAGATGCCAAACCAGAGTTAAAAACCTAAAGATAAAAACCTGAGGCAAGAAAGAGTCAGAAAAGAGAGAGCCAGGTCAAGAACACAACAGGTAAGATCCAGGTCACCAAGTCAAGATCAGGTGTGCTAGAGTCAGAGGGAAGGGACCGAAAATTGCCAAGTTCAAGCTCACTTACTAAAGGAGGGCAAGGCCAAAGAGGCCAAGGAGTGCCTTAGCACTGGGCTTTTCAGATTTTTCCAAGGAAACTAGTGCCAGAGTAAATTCATATTCTTAGAGATACTGGAGGCATGACTGGAAACAGATGGGCACAGCGACGGCATTTGTAAATATCATGTATCTTAAAAATCAATGAAAAATGTGCAGTTGTCTCATACAGTAGCTTTATTCTTTTCAATATAAGCTGATATAAGATGAACGGCTCGCCATGGAGTAAAATAGACTGCTCAGAAGGACACATCATGTGCAAAAGCACAGGAGAAACCACACCCTTGTGCAGCCGGGAGAACAGAAGCTGTGTTTGAGAAGCAGAGGGCTCAACCATTGTCCTTGGCCGCACTTTCACATAATGTTGGGCCCTTACCCTCCCTAGGATTCAGGAGTAAGCCCTGCTTCACCCCACAGCCATCAAGATAGCCAGGGACCACACACTCAAGTGGCAAAGGGGGTCAAGTAACAAACGCAATTGTCTGAGCTACTTGTCTCAAGGCCAAGGAGAATGTCTGTCAACTACAAAATCTTTTCAAAACGTCATGGAAGCCAAATGAAAAGGTCAAACAAAGGAAGATTTGGACCCATATGCAGCCCGAGGGCCACAGTGTACCAACCTCTAGCGGTCCACTCCTCTGCCCCAGAATGAGACCTTAACTAATATTTGAGTGAAGAAGGACATTGAATCTAAGAGCTGCATGGCAGATCTCTTACAAGAAAAGAAACCATGTCCAAGAAAGAGGAAAACTAAACAAATAAAAATTATGACTTACATGTTAGCATATCAAGACTATGTTTTTCAGACCCTTCATTAAAAAAAATTTCTAATGTTTATTTATTTTTGAAGGAGAAAGAGACAGAGCATGAGCGGGGAGGGGCAGAGAGAGAGGGAGACACCGAATCTGAAGCAGGCTCCAGGCTCTGACCTACCAACACAGAGCCTGACACAGGGCTTGAACTCATGAACCGTGAGATCATGACCTGAACCGAAGTTGGATGCTTAACCAACTGAGCCACCCAGGCGCCCTGAGAGACTTTTCATTTCAACAAAGGACAAAAGTAGACTGGATGTGGAATGGACTTTTTGTGTGAGTTACCCAGAAGGCAGTAACCTAGACAAAGGTCAATAAACAAAAACTTTACTGGGGCGGGGTGGGGGATGCGGAGAGGGAATGGAGAGTTATTGTTCAATGGGTATAGGGTTTCAGTTAAACAAAATGAAGCATTCTGGAGACAGATGATGGTGATGGTTGCATAATATGAATGCACTTAATACCACTAGACTATACATTGAAAAGTGTTTTAACCTCAATGAGATACCACCTCACACCAGTCAGAATGGCTAACGTTAACAACTCAGGCAACAACAGATGTTGGTGAGGATGCGGAGAAAGAGGATCTCTTTTGCATTGTTGGTGGGAATGCAAACTGGTGCAACCACTCTGGAAAACAGTATGGAGGTTCCTCAAAAATAGAACTACCCTAGGACCCAGCAATGGCACTACTAGGCATTTATCCACGAGATACAGGTGTGCTGTTTCGAAGGGACGCATGCACCCCCATGTTTATAGCAGCACTATCAACAATAGCCAAAGTATGGAAAGAGCCCAAATGTCCATCGATGGATGAATGGATAAAGAAGATGTGGTATATATATGCAATGGAGTATTACTCGGCAATCAAATAGAATGAAATCTTGCCATTTGCAACTACGTGGATGGAACTGGAAGGTATTATGCTAAGTGAAATTAGTCAGAGAAAGACAAATATATAACTTCACTCACATGAGGACTTTAAGATACAAAACAGTTGAACATAAGGGAAGGGAAGCAAAAATAATATAAAAACAGGGAGGGGGACAAAACATAAGAGACTCTTAAATATGGAGAACAGAGGGTTGCAGAAGGGATTGTGGGAGAGGGGATGGGCTAAATGGGTAAGGGGCATTAAGGAATCTACTCCTGAAATCATTGCTGCACTATATGCTAACTAACTTGGATGCAAATTAAAAAATAAATAAATTAGGGGCGCCTGGGTGGCTCAGTCGGTTAAGCGTCCCACATCAGCTCAGGTCACGATCTTGCAGTTCGTGAGTTTGAGCCCTGTGTCAGGCTCTGTGCTGACAGCTCAGAGCCTGGAGCCTGCTTTGGATTCTGTGTCTTCCTCTGTCTCTGCCCATCCCCAACTCACACTCTGTCTCTCTTTCCTTCAAAAGTAAATAAACATTAAAACAAAATTTAATTTAAAAAATAAATAATAAAAAATAAAAATAAGTGTTTTAAAATGTGATAGATACACGTACACAATGGAATATTATTTAGCCCTAGAAAAGGATATCCTGCCATTTGTGACAATATGGATGGATATTGAAGGCATATGCTAAGTGAAATAAGTCAGACAGAAAAAGACAAGGGGCAACTGGGTGGTTCAATCAGTTAAGCGTCCAACTCTTGATTCCAACTCAGGTCATGATCTCATGGTTATGGGATCAAGCCTGACATCAGGCTCCACACTCAGTGTGAAGCTGCCTTGAGATTCTCTCTCTCTCCCTCTGCCCCTCTCCCCCGCTTTTTGTCTCTCTCTCTCTCAAAAAAAAAAAGGAGGAAAAAAAGACAAATTCCATATGATCTCACCTATATGTGGAATCTAAAAAAAACAAAAACTCAGAGACACAGAGAAAAGATACAAACTTCCAGTTATAAAATAAGTAAGTCTTGGAGATATAATGTATAGTATGATGCCTACAGTTAATAATACTGTAATACATATTTGAGAGTTGCTAAGAAAAGGAATCTTAAGAGTTCTCATCACACACAAAAAATTGTAACCATGTGTGGTGATGGATATTGACTAGACTCGCTGTGGTGATCATTTCACAATATCCACAAATGTTAAACTTGAGGTAGTACACCTGAAACTGATAGACTGTTATATGTCCATTACATCTCAGTTAAAAAATGGTCAGGATGGTAAATTTTATGTCACATGTATTTTGCCACAATTAGAAAAAAAACCCACCTTATTAGGGAGCGCAATCCTAGGGAACAGGAGTGAGGGAAAGGGGGCAGCAAAATTAGAGGGGAGAG